AAGACTGCTAAAAAGAGATATGTTTTACATTTTACTCTGTTATCTTTTAAGTTATGCATATCAATTTAAAAATGATTTACATCCCTTTTTACCAAGGGCAGTTTATATAAATAAGCCTTGAAAAATATAATCTGACTGTCTCAATTGCCTTGTGATAAATGATATATTTATATATGAATTAGATAAGAATTGTTTTCTAAACCACTTGATTACATTTATATTAACTTCTTTCATGTTACAGTCATTGTTTATTAAACATCATTATTTTTGGGTACACATAGATTAATACTCTTGAAGTGACAGCTGTATTATATTAAAAGCCATGGTGAATTTTGGATTCACTATATAGCATTAGATTTATTGATCAATAGCACCGGTTATGTATTTAATTTTGCATGACATTGACTGCAGTAAGGGCACACGTTTTTTTTTCTTTTTTCTTTTACTTCAAGTTAGGGCTTAGAGAGCTGAATGGCAAAATTTAATTAGAGCCAATCACGTTTATCAGCTCCCAATAAGCTACTTAATGGTTTGTCACAAATAAATTATTGTCGTTAAAGGCTTATCAAGAGCCCAAAATTATCAGTATAAATATTGAATCTGATATATATATTTTACATTGGAAATATTGGAAGTATTGAATTCAGTGAATCCATCTATTGGTGACATAAACGCTGATAAATGACCTCACTGAATTTGCCACCTAAAGGTAATTGATATATTTTGCAGCAACTGGGCAAATAGATAGAAAAGCCTACAGGGTCATTTATGTAAGGTAAGTTTTCAAACTCCCTTTTGGGTGCAGGAGGATAATGCCTTGGGGTCCAGTGAGACTGCTGGCTGAGGCACAAACACACTCCACACACACTGACAAATCCCCCCACACTGTCACCCCTCACTCACACTGTCCCCCCACATACTGTCAGACCCCACACACACTTTGAGACCCTCCTACACACATTGTCTCCCCCATGCACACTGCCCCCCCACACAGTGTCACCCACCTTCACCCAGCCACACTCACATTAATTCTGTCACTCTCACTCCCACTCCCACACATACCTGACCTTGATCTGCCACACACACCCTATGACATTAACCCTCCCTCTTGGCCTGTCACACCCCCTCCACAAAAACATTCCACCCCGAACCCTGTCACAATCTCCCACCAACTCATTCACACACACCCTGTCACATCAACACATTCAATCCTGTCATACTCATGTGCCCCTGCCCTGTCACACTCCCTCCTCCAGCCATGCAACATTCACCCCAACCCTCTGATACTCACACCCCAATCATGCCACAATCACTGTCACATTAATCCCCCTAATTCTGTCACACTGACCTTCCCTCTCCCTGTCACACAGCTTCCTTTAACTCTGTCACATTCACTCTTCCTTGTTATGTCACACTCACTCTCCCACTCTCTCGTTCACTCCCCCTCACCCTGTCATACTCTTCAGTTTTAAAATTTAGGATTGAAAGATATAGATGGGAATCTAATTGTGTTCTGTGCTTGAGACGTAAAACATATACAATAATGTATACATCAATGCAACTAGATATGTATTCAGATATATTCAGTAAGGGCTTATATATTTAACAAGCTGCAATAACTAACCATGTCCCAGACAATAAATTTAAGGATGCATTTAGAAAACATGCACTGACAGACAAATCCTCTAATATTGGGTTTCGATCTGAGAGTTCCCTCTTTGGACCCATTGGAACAAAGAATATCAAAGGATCCACATTGTTGGCTATAATGAAATCAGTTTACTTAACACAATCCAGAATACAAACAATGCAAATTACAATACAATAATCCACAATATTAAACATACACTTATAACATATCTATACCACCTGATTACAGGTCAATTGAGATGGAGAAGCCAATAGAGGAAAAAAGTAGGATCAGTAAAAAAAATCTAAATCGAAATCAGTCTATCTATCTATCTATCTATCTATCTATCTATCTGTCTGTCTGTCTGTCTGTCTGTCTGTCTGTCTGTCTATCTATCTTTTCCATTGATCATCTAATTTTTTGGCACCACAGATTTAAATCTGAATCATGAAACAAACAAAACTGCTTGTCTATTGTCCATTTAATTTGTTAATCACATGATGATTAACAGGGTTTTTGATTAAATTGAGAGTTTTAGGTGAATTCCAAGGACATTTCAAATTTAAGATCAACGTAGCTGAATTGGAAAAATTCTCTAAGTTATCTAAGCTTTTAGTTCAGCTACTATGGCTTTAAATTTGGAATTGACTTTGAATTAATTTTGAATTCTTACTTTAGTAAATAATCCTGTTAGATTTTCAGAATTCAGATGACCCACCGCTTGTTAAAAATAGGACACACAGTTTCACTTTCCGAGTCCCTATAAATATCTATAAGCAGGGTATTGGACTATTTTTAATAATACATTTTTGCCACGCCTTTTCTATGGAGAAAAATTTTATTTTTGTTTTTATACTCATATTTCAGATTCCAAGTGATATAGTGTAAGATTAGGGATACTGTGTACTGTTTAAAGCCTTTTATTCCCCAATACTTCTATAAAGGATGGATGAATGAATGAATGCATGAAAATTAAAAATGTTGTACATTTTTATCATTTTAATATTTATGCTTGTCTGAAAAGCAATTTACCAATCGAACTGCATTTCAAATTGATTTTATGATAATATTTTTTTCAATAGAAAAATTTGTTTGTTAGTGAAGGAGTTAATAGAGTCATTAAGAGGTTGAATTGTAAAAATACAATAAGTAGAAAATTCACATTTTATTTGGATGTTAATATACCATATTTAAGCACATTTTATCATTTTACTCTTATTGTTTATTCAAGTATGAATAATACATAATTGGTTTATTTTCATATATTGCAAATTAATGTATCAATTCATTAATTTGTTCCCCAGATTAAACACATACAAATTAATTTATTAACATTTTATATATGCCAATGCACAGAGGTTAACAGACGCAAACCAAGAAGAAAATGTTATAGCTTACCAAAAGGGGGTAGTTCCAGTTTCCATGACTTTTAGATCATGTGTGCCATTTTTGAGGGAGCCTGTGGATGATCAAAACAGATACACAATCATAAACTGAAATGTAGGCTTTAAAATTTGTATTACAAATATAATAATATCAGTTGATTGTTTTGTTTTTTTACTTTAAAATTAAGCACACTTTAAACTTATAAAGGAAACGTTTGGGGTGGAGAATATTCTTTCTGTGATCAAATTTATTTTTTTCACAGATTTGTTTGCTCCTTGCCACCATACAATCATAACCTCCATGATACTGCAATCTGTTTCTCAAAGCAGCACTGTCACAGGCAAAAACTTAGAGAAACTCATTAGCTTGCTCTTTAGTTAGTCTCTGCTCAAGTCTCAAAAATGTTTTTGCACACTTGTGCCATTACAAAGAGAACCTATACTGTGACCAACGCTCCTTTCTACAAACATTTGCCACAGACTCCTGGAGGAGTGTGGAAGCTGGCCTCTTGCCCACCGACTATAGGCCAGGGTCTGGGACACCGCTTTGGAGTTATCCTGCCCAGCCGCCATTGGTAGCTTTCCCTGGGTGCCCCTGGTTCGGCACTTTCCAGTCATCCAAATAGAACCGAATGCTAGCTTCCTGGTGACCATTCGCATGAATCAAACGCACAAATAGTCCTCAGCGGTACATAGCCATTACCGCTATGGAACTAATTTTGGCATGAGGACTTTGTTGGTTCCTGGTCACTTCTGCAGGACTTAACCGCGAATGTTATGGAACTGTTTTCGGCATGAGGTGACCGTGCGGTTCCCGGACAACTTGGTCCGAGATGTTGAGCACTTTTTGGGGGTAAGGTGCCTTAGACTAAGGGGAAGAAATGCTACCAGAGAGCCAGGCAGAGCACCCCATATTTCGGATGCAGGAGCTCCCGAAAGTTGACCGGCAAAAGCACCAACCGATGTAGAACTATTTTGGGTATAGGACCACATGTGTGGCTGGTCAGAACTTTAACACAGTGGCCTTTTCCCTACAGTGCATGCGTCTGAGCACTATTTGGAGAACTTGGGCACTCAAATCAGGGCTTTTTGGAGATGTATTATTATTTGTGGGGTTATTTTCTGTTTTCATTATGTTTGTTTTAACTCGTGGAGGATT